GTATACCCGTGGACTTTTCTACCCAGCGATGAGAAGCTCATCTTCTCGATTCGTTATTTTACCGAAAACATCGAACCATTTATTGGCTGATATGATACGTATCCAGTAAAACCTCCTTATAACGGACCACCTGTAACTTTTAAGACGAAAATCTGACAACGGAAACTAACAACAGTAATATAACCGGTATATTTTAGTCTTCCTATAATGGAAACTCTTTCGGAAAAATCATTTGGTACCAATCGATTCCGTTATAAGAAGGTATCTATATCTAGTGTTTGAAGTATGTGAAATATTTCACAAAAACGTGAAACATTGAAATTTTTTTTAACACAAATAAAACACAATTTATTTATTTTTTTAACACAATGTTCAGTGTTCTAATTTCTAATGTCAGAATTCAGTAAGTATAAAATATATATGTATAATATTGTATACCTACTTATATCAGTTAAACAGTAAAATATTTAAAAATTTTGAATACCAATTTAAATGTATAATACCAAAGGTTAGGTATACATACAGGTACCATTTAGTGATGAAGGTAATTTATGACAATTATGTGTAAATATAAAACTTATTTAAAAATAAAACAAAATCTATTAAAATACTGAAATATTTCACATATTTTGAAATATTTCATTTTTTTAAATTTCATGAAATTTTCAAACACTATCTATATCGTTTGTTGAGAGACAGTATGAAACGAATTTTGAGGTGACGAACCAGCAGAGATAAGTATAATAATTCGGTACGTTGTTCGCGGGCTTTCTGTGACGAAACGTTGTAAATTAATAATTATACAATAAATTGCAAAGTGAATGTACCATCTACAACTCTTTTTTGTTGTGTATAACGTCACACAGTATGGAATGTTTTCGTACAAATCTGGCAAAAATCAATATTATTAAAATACATTTATCAAGACGAAAGTACATTAATGATATAAACATCAACTATTCTCATGCACTGCTACAAATAATAGTTGGCAGAAAATACGAATCAAAATCAATCTAAACAAAAAGCCATTGGAAAATGTTTAGTGGAAAATGGTTTTTAGCACTTTGATGGAAGATAAAACACAACATGCACTAAAATCCAAATATAAAAGTTTAGGCTTTTAAGAGTTGACCATAAAAATAACAGTTTATGTTTTAGTTAAAGCTGCATTTTAGGTTGGGAAATCTCATAACATTCCCAAAAATTAAATATTACATTGACCTATATTTGTAATATTATACGCGGACTTCCGAGTAGTGGATTCAATTTTTATTTGGAAATAAAATACTAGGTAACAAATTAACAAAATACTTTCAATACATGATTTGTGTCAGTATATTATTATTATAAATTCAAGACAAAAGAATATTTACATTATCGATATTAAATCATAAACAGTAGGTAGGTATAAATAATAAATTTTGCAATAAGTTTTGCAGATGATATTATTTATTATTCACCTTATTGTACCTATATAATATTATGTCGATTTAAATACTTTTTTTTATAATTTCAATGTTGTCTAGTTTTTTATGGAAATATATAAAAAAACCATCCACCGTCGTAGTTTTTAGTCATAGATATCGATTGAAAAAAGGTGGTATTGGCCACGTCTACAGTTCACACATTGGAGTATATTATTGTGCTGAACGGATTTAAAACTTGATCCCCAAAGAAACACTCCCTATAGGCACTTATACTATAAAGGCACTTAGGCGAGTAAAGTGGATTTTGGAACAAGGTCGGTATTAATAGACGGTACACCCTGTAAGAAAGCACAATGAGGCCTTAAACTATGTATATACACTATACAGGGTACGAATGTGTTTGCCGATCATTCTCATCACCATAATCGGTGTTCATAACGCATAACGCATAAAATATAAAATTCTGATTTTTGGCATTTTTAAATATGTAATTCTCAAAGATATCCATACTTAAGGAGTATCCCATGACGGTAGAAAGAACGACATCTTTTTCAAATGAGAACCGTCACCTTTTTCTACGGCAATTGCAATTACTAAATTGTTTAGCAGATGCAGTGTTACTGAAAATAACTAGAATATCTATAATAAATAACTATATAACCGAATCGAAATTTGAACGAATTTTTTACTGTGTTATGACTTATGAATCTTCGTAATAAGAATAATAGCCCTTGAGAATATTTTTACATATACCTAGTACAATAATATATATACCTACCTACATAATATACCACCATAATTGCAATATAAAATACATTTAATATTATGTTATTATGCAATGAATCTCTGAAAAAAAAATACGAAACTGGAATAATAAATGTATACTAATTCTTTAAGTACCTATTCAAATTGTTGAAGTTAATCATTATACAATTTTAATGAATTAATATAAATTACTATCATGTTTTCGTGGACTATATTTTATCCTTATCTCTTATTGTACTTTGAGTTAAATAATTCAGGAATACTATTATGCTCGTCGAAATTTAGATTTACCCCCTCACCAACCACTTTAATAACGGACGACAAGAAAGCGTGACGGTTATTTGAAGAAAAAAAAATAGTTCATATTATAGTCACAGGACGACGCTCTTTAAACGGGTGTTAAATGTCCAAGTATTTGAAAACACCTTATATAATATAATATCATATCGTTAGTAACGCCTAATTTAAAAATTTAAAAAAATCAGAATTCGAATGATTTCATACCCATCGTGGTGGAAACGAATTGGGGCGAACGAGCCCTGCGAATCACCCTGTACGTCGTATTATATTCTAGTATTATGTTTAATGCTTGGCACAAAACTGCGCTCGTTAGCGATCATAGTCGTCTATTATTATGACCGCGCCGACGCGTATTAGTCGGCTGCTCCCCATCGGCGGCGCTCGTCCGACACAATGCGAGAGACCTTTTCAACCCCGCGAACCTACCCGCTTTGTTATATCACACGTACACACACGTACACACATGTCATGATTACAACTCGTAGGTACTTTTTATGAAATATGACAGAATAGGAAGCACGTCAGACTACAAAATATAATATTTATTCTATGTGTGTACATGTTATAATATATTGGCTTCGCACATTTAATAGCGTTAATGTGTATATAGTTGTCATTTTGTCGTAAAATCTGTGCATTGTGATTTACTATCCGGACAAAATAAAATATAATATACGACGTGGTGGACAACGTCATCGACAAATCGCTCTTCGGACACGCATCGATGTCGAGGAATCGATACGGTATTCGATGTCGATACTTTCGACACCGATATCGTCTTGTCGTCCGCGATATAGGTGAAACATAAAAATATAATACTATAGTCATCGCTTATTGCCAGTTATTGGGCTCTCTTCGGGACCAGATAATATTGGAGTCCATCAACCCAATGAGTCAATTTGAGTCGAAAGACTCAAGAACAAAAATGTATATGATCAAATGTAATAACTAACAATAATAGGATGTCCTTAAAAACTCTAAAAATGTCAAAGTATGTCCTTAAAATAATTAAATACTATGACTTAAAAAGCGACGTAGAAAAATTATATTATTCTAGGGTTATGATATATGGACATATAGCCTACAGGTGTATGATGTCTGTAACGAATCAATAATGAACACGTACTCGGTAATATATTATGAGATGAGAAAAAAAGATTTTTAAAAATTTTCTTTGAAATTTAAAAAGAAAATTGACTTACAATGATAGTAAATAAAAAGACCTAAACATTTTGTTTTGAATTACATCCTAAAAATACCTAAATATGAAAAATAATATACCTGATTTTTCGTCATACTAAACTTGATTTATATTTTGGTCTGCAAAAGTGTAAAATTAAAGTCATAATTAATATCCTCACCTTAGATCTTAAGTATTATTCATTATATTCACTAAATTGTACATGATATGTATTTTAGAACCAGAGTTGAATCAATGGGAACATTGCTATTATCCAAATAGATAGCTAATAACTTACTTACCCAATTATGTATTTACCTCAATAACCGATGTATTGAGTCCATAGAGTGGGTGTATTAGACGAATTTATTTCCATACCTACATTGGTAGTTGGTACAATACGTTTTACATGTTAATCGGGGTCAGACTGTTTGAGTCCAATTATATACACTAAAATGAAAATATTTACTGTTCAACTGGAGTTACTGTATCAAAGGAGATCACTGTCAACGGTTTCCCAATGCTTGTTATCCGATAAGAAAGTGGCAAATTTTGATTCGGAAACAAATTTGATTTAAACTATAATCCAAACGAATCCGGAGAACGGTGCGAAGGGACTAAAAAAATAATGTCAAAGACCAAAGTATATTATCATAAATTGAACGGACAACAGATTTAGCTTTTAACGGTATTTGGAATTATTTAAAGTTGGCCATCATAGCAGACACTCGGCTTAGTCGGAGGTTGTATTTTGTGGTGCAGTTATAGATGAAAAATATTGTGAGTGTAGCGTGGTGGAACTTCTTTCAAAAAAATCAAATTGACATAAAAAAAAATACGATATTTCAAATTTGAATAAGTACTCATAAAAAGACATACGAAAATTATAAATGTGTTAACAACATTCATCGTATAATGAATAATAATAAAAATAATTAATATTGTCATTATTTCTTCTTAAATTAAGGCACAGAGTAGGTATAGGTTGATTAAATGCAACTGGAGTACTGGACAAAATGTCCTTTGATACCTGCACAATAATATAACATTATAATATAACATCTAGCTTAAATTTTAATATTTTATGGAGCGAGAAATCCATCTAGACGGCAAATTTGGTATGGTCTACCCTCCGTAGTGTAGTTACACTTTAAAAAAAATGAAATCTAGTGTAATATTGTAATGAAATCAAATTACCTAATCGTTTACAGTGATTGATATTGTGATATTATAAATGTTGGTGTGCCGATAGTTTAGTCTTTTTAAATTTTACTTTCTCTTTTTAAAACGAGATGAATTTTTAAACTTTATTTGTTGTATTGTCACAGGAATACGAAGTGAGCGCCCATTCGATCAAGGACTCTGGAGGCCGCGAAAAGGCGCAGAATATTTGGGAGTTTGTCACGTCCAGTAAACGTTTGGGATCCAAAGATGACGGGACGAACGACGATACAAAAACGAACAAATAATATAATATAATATTATTTTATTATATTCCCGTAGCATATCATATAATATAATACAATAATAATATGTCATTATCCAACTTATTTACGGATTTCACTGCAAACAGATAAAACAACACGACAAAAGTTACGGTTAATACAAAAGTGCAAATATTTTTCTCTCCGTTTTCGTTTTAAACGGTATACATAAAACAAAAACAAAACAAACAAATAAAAAAAAAGTAGTATTTGATTATCAGTACAAATATTATAATTAGTATTTTTGTAGAAAATAAAAACAATAAATAAAACGAGATAGTTTCGACATCATGATCGGAAAAAAAAATAATTCGTTTGAATTTCGATTTAATTGTTGAGTGCCTGTATATATATGTATATATTATAATATCATCATCAGAAATACAAAACATAATAATATTATATTATTATATTATAAGGATATTATTACTCACGTATTTATACAATATATATGATATAATATTATAATATGTTGTTGGATAATCGTTTTTAATTTCGTAAACAAAAATATGTTAATGAACAAAAATGAATAGAGAGGTACCTACTGCCTCACGCGTGAAAACACACAGTTTATCAATATAATAATATACAATATGATAGGTAATAATAATAATATAAAAAAAAATAATGTACACATTTTCGTAAAGTTATATTAAACGTACTTACAAGACACGCGTCTTACACAACTAATAATAGGTAGTAATAATAATGTATATATAATAATATGCGCGGAACACATGTGTTGATCATAATATTGAGCTTTGGTATACTATATTTTTATTAACCCGACGAGCGCGACGGAGACACGATAAACGATTATAATAATAATAATAATATATATTATATAATACGAGTGGGGAATGAGAGAAAACGACCAGAGTATCAAGAAAAGAAAAAGGGAAGGATAAGAAAATAGGGATCATAAAAAAAAAATAAAAATATTTAATAAAAACTCAGACTTATCGACGCCCTTTGACGGTTTCTCTCAAAAGTGAAAAGAATAAATAATAGTAATAATAATAATAATAATAAAAACGGTGAAGAAGAAAACTCGCGCTCGTGTATACAGACATAATATTATATTCTCGAAAAGTTTTCCCTAAAATATGTGTAGATTATATATATATATATATGTATAATGTATATGCGTACGGTAGGTATATACGTAGTGATGAGATAAATCGTTTTCTTTTTACACTGTACAAGGTTCGTATAATATAAATGTAATATAATATGGCTTATGCGTGCGTGCGTGCATTCGCGCTCGCGTCATCTAAATGAAAAATTATGATAAATGATAAATGATATATTATGTATACATAAAAAGTAGCCGGAGCGACGTGTTTCGCTCGTCGTCGTCAAAGTCGTAATCGATCTCCTCTCGTCAATCGATCGGTCGATCGCAATTTTTCATATTATACGATGGTAATATAATATAAATCGTATCGATACACCGCCATATGGTTTGCGTCCCCTCGAGATTTCTGTCCAGAAACAAAAAAAGTTCGTTCGATTATTATTACAGCTTTACATAATATTATTTTATATAATATAATATACTATTGTCTCGGTATTGCGTTTTTCGTATTCGCGTATAGTAAAGTTATACTCACACGTGGTCAGTTTGCTCTGCAGGATCGGCGAAAGGATCTCCTCTAGGCTGGCCGACGACCTCAGTTCAGAGTTCGACAGTCTGTCCACCTAAAACCATATGGTTTCATGTTATATGAATTACGAATATATTATAACTGTACAATTAACAACAATTATTGGTATAAAAAATATAATAGGAACTCTTGTAAAAAAAAAAAGTTTGTATGATTATAATATAGTGTAATCACGATAAGTGGAAACACTCAATAACTATGTGCAGGCTTTATATATTTCAATTCTGCTTTTTTGGCTAACTAATAAACATTATTATACTCCTTTAGTCAAATAATTAGACTATTTTTGTGAGCATGCTCATGGTAATTTTTTTTTAAATGTCACGACCTATCTTTGACCACAAATTATTTTTCTTTGTATTTTTTAATGAATTTTAGTGGTTGAAATTTTGTTCTAGGTTCAAAAATGGCCGAGTTATAGTAATCTACTTTTATGTTATTTGCATGGGTATAACAGATTATAAAATACCTACGTAGTTAATAATAATAAATACATAATAATTAAATATACATGCAAATAACATAAAATCAGATTACTATAACTCAGCCATTTTTTAACTAAGTAAAGAAATTCAAACACTAAAATTTATTAAAAAATACAAAGAAAAATAATTTGCGGTCAAATATAGGTCTTGACATTAAAAAAAAACAAATATATTGCGCTCATGCGCAAAATTAACTGTCACAAAAACAGTGTAATATTATTTGAAAATGCGTATAATAATGTTTATTAGTTAGCCAAAAAAGCAGAATTGAAATATATGAAGCCTGCACATAGTTATTGAGTGTTTCCACTTATCATGATCACACTGTATATTATTAGAGGACAGTTTTCTAAATTCCGATATCGGTTATTAAAATTCCTGAAAATGCGTTCTCGAAGTACCTATACACAATATTGTAAATCATGATTCGAACAAATCCACAATTTCGTGATAAAATCTAAGTGAGCGTGCTCAAACCACTCTGTAAATTGTGTACCGTGTATTTAAGGACGAAAAGTATTCTAAGTTGGGAAATTCTGGACGCCAGTAAGTGGAGTGTGAAGTCGAATAAAGTTAAGTCTGATTGAAAAATTAATTCTGATTAATCGAGAATCGATTGCAATTAACACTCACGTGGTTGTGTTGTGGCGAAAAGTACGTCGGACCACCCCTGGAAGAAGTGCGCACCCCCGAGGACCTGTTTCCCAGGTACAATATATCACCACCACCACCACCACCTCCGACTCCGTATGAGGACGATCCGTTGTGCTGCTGTTGTGTGTGATTCGGCTGCTGTTGGTGCTGCTGTTGTTGTTGGTTCTGCTGCTGTTGATGGTGGTTCTGCTGCTGATGGTGGAGGTGGTGATGTGGCGACGACGATGACGACGTACCATTATGGTGGTCCCACTGGTGCGACGGTCTTTGTTTTCCTCTGTCACCCGGCCACGGTATGACGCCGTTGGGAGTGTTGGCGTGCTGCCCTAGCACGCCGCTCTCGAAAGACTTGCTGGACTTGATTGACTGACCTGCCACAGCCGAAGTGGTGGCGGCTGTAGACTTGGCGTCATCGGTTGTCGTCGTCATCGCGATCATCGCGCTGTTCCGATTTGTGTCAACCAAAGCCGACGTCGCGCACGTTTCCGGATTGTTGTTGCTCCGGTTCTGGTACGCCGCCTGGTTGATATTTTTGGGTGGGCCGTAACCGCTAACCGGGTATACGCGGTCCGGGACGCACTGCCATGGAACACCACCACCACCCAGGGTGCCACGAATTTCTTGACTAGACCACGGCGGCGGTGTCGACTTGGCCGGGTTCGTAGAGGGTCGTTCGGCGCTGTTCCTGTGGAAAATGGAAAAACACCATCAGACAAAGTTGGGCCAAAGTATGTGAACGTTGAAATCACGTCACGACGCTTTCGTTTCGTTTTACTATGGCTCAGTCAAGTGTCCGAATAGAAAGGTAATATATTATGTTGGATCGTTGGAAATATTAAAAAAATAAATAGCATAATGATTATAAACGATCGTAAACATGCCCATTTTGTTAAGCGTCTTATTAATGAGTTAACATCTATATATTAATTCAGTATTTATTTTAATAATCTTTTTGTTGGCATCTTCAGTTTCAAACTCATTCAGTATTATGTAGTATCCAAAATTTAGTCATTGCTAAAGCAAAAAAAAAATGCAGGAACGTAGATGGATTACAGAGATTGCTGTATCATAATTATTAATAAAAAAAAAAAAAGAAAAATATTAGCTCACCCATTTGCCGACGACCTGGCTGAATTGTAAGGGAAGTCTCGCATCATATTTTCTGTCCTCCTGTTGTGTGCGTTGTCTTTCTGCTCGAGATCGTGTAACCTACAAGAGACATCATTAAACAGCGTTTTCAAAAATATTTATTCTAGTTTTGAACGTTATCTATTAAACGTATCTCGATGTATGAATACAGACGGTTTTTAAAAATAATAAAGTTCCCAAGTCTTGATCTAGTTATACTACCCATCTAAAAATGTACAAACGCTTCGGTGCGTAAATACTGAAAGAGGTTTGTTTGTGTTAAACCAACAATACTATTCCATAGACGGATTGTTTTGAAGTCGTAAATATGAAAAATAAAAACCACTGTTCTATCTCAAAAATAGAAAAACTATTACTCATCGTTAGGGCGTATTTATAACACAAGGTAATAACACTCTCAAAGCTTACTGATTTTCCTGATTACCATACATTTTTTGGAATAGTTACTTTATTTAATTATATTATTATTACATATTGAATTAGGTTTATTATTTTTTTAAGTAATAAAAGTTTTATTTGTCATAAAATATACATCAAATAATTATTGTATATAACTCATGTAGGTTAGGGTAGTAGGTACTATTATAGGTTGTATAACAAGCGATGAGAGATTATAAAAACACCATGAAATCTGGGGTCAGAAAATAAAACCCCTTTGGTCACATTTATGTTAGCTAATCATTTATAGTTTATAAATGTACTGCAATTATATCGACCTAGATATACATAGGTACTGTTTAAAATGTATAACAAAAAAATACGTTTTATTTTTTAAAAATGAATCAATAATCGCATTATCAATCGCCAACTAGGATATATCTTAATTAAAAAAAAATTAAATCAAATGGACAAATAACACAATATTGTAACCAAATACAGCTTATTTGAAGAGTTATCCACATAACTGTGGATGTATTTCATAATTCCTTAACCCTTAACCCATATTGAAAAAACGATATTATTGTTTTTATTAATATTATTATTATTGTTATTAGACTATTATTATTAATATTATTATAATTATGTTTTACTCACCACCGGGAATGGTTCATAAGGTTCCGCTGGTCGTGACTAGAATGATGATAGCTGTTTGCCGAGCCCACATGCAACGCCGACGGGTTGGCGTACAGCGCAGAACAAGTGGCCCTGTAATTTGGGTCAGCAGACGTCCTCGTCGACGTCGCCGTCGGTCCGCTTTGGTTGGGTGGCTGCGTTCTGCGAGCAAAAACAACGAGATTAGTGACTGAAAAATTGTTCGCTGTCGTCTTGGTGACCCTAAACCAGCACGTCGTCTCCGTCTTACAAACGTACAACATTGCAAATTTGAAATTTGCTATCAGCCGAAACGCTAACTTTGTATAGTTATATTTAATATTGCACGAGTGCCAAATTATCAAACTTACAATATTATTAGTGAAAACGTTATCTGTATTTGTACGTAGGTTTTTACGATATATTATTTAAATTTCTGATTGAGTGAATATGTGCGTTATTGCAGTATTTTAAAAATGCTCGAAACTTACTTAATAAAAATTATTGAAATATCTCAAAAGACCAACGTGCAAATCATTTTACTCTCATTAAGATTCTCAACACGAAATCGGTTTTGTGAGACGAAAGTTTTCAACGTTGTACGTTTGGAAGACTGAGATACTATAGATGGTCTTAACGACATATTATCAAGACAATTTTGTTTCAGACGGATTCGACGGGAACAGTGATGCCGAAGAGCACGTGGCAGTCAAAAACGCACAAATACTAAGCCATAAATAATATTAAACTATTTATGTATATGATGATAGATTTACAATATTATTATAATCGCTGGTGTACCGTTTTTTTTTTTTTGTGTTTGTATGTCCTAGCAGACTCTTCCGCTAAATAAACTTACGCGGATCGTTTTGCGTTTTTATTTCCAACCCTTTTGGCCTAATTCAGCAATCAACCAAAGTGGTTAAGAAAACAAAATTTGTTTTTTTTTTTTTTAACCGAAGGCAATCTTGCGATAAACAACCCGAACTTCACCTTTAAGTGTAAGCTCACTGAAAGTCGTTCCGGAAAATCGCGAATAATCGTTGAAGCTACAGCCTAGATATACCAATCTATGAAATGTCTCAAATGTTTAAAAAAAGTCGTGAGATAGTTATTGTTTTTATTTTTTTTCCTAAACAAAATGTAACATCGATATTTCAATTACAAAATGTTGGAGCCGCTGACTTAACGGGAGTACAGTTATTCTAACTTCCTTTGAAAATGATCGATTTTCACTTATTTCAGCGATATCGGACCTGACACAGCACGCGTGAAAAATGTCTAATCAAAACGAATGCGATGTACCACGTAGGTACTGACCAATTTATTTTTTAATCAATTTCATACATAGAACGAATATTGATATTTTTTGAAGACTGAGTACAAGAAAATAAAGTTTACTTAGACAATATTTTGAAACTAAACCTTTTACTATTACTTTATCTATGATATAAATAATATGCACTTGAAATAAAATTGTCTGTCACACGCATTGCATTTTAAACTCGGGAAGACATTACGAGACTATAAAAACCTTTTTTTTAACCCATTTAGCATTAATGTATGGACATTAATTATTACAATACATAATATTATATACGCACAAAATAATAAAATATATGGACTGAATAAAAGTTATCGTTATGATTGACGATTAACTGACTTCATAAGTTTCTGTCAAGCCGTGAAAAATCAATACAATATTAAAAGTTTCTCTTAAGTATTTTTAGGGTGAGAAAGTATTTAAGCGTAAAAAATAAAACGTGTCTCGTCTTTACGAGAGGGTACTTAATAATGCACACAGAATACGTATTAATTATATTATACAAAAGAGGGATTTTATACCACCGCATATATTAATACAATATCGATACTGCCACAGAAGTCCCAATGATTAATTTTAAGTAAAAAAAAAAAAATAAAACCTGACGGTTATATAAAGTGACAAGTTATATTATTTTGAACAGGGAAAAAAAAGTTTCTCAACTTTTAATGCTGCGAGTGCTGCTGTACGAAAAAGTTTGTTTTCTTGCCGTTTATACTGTACGAAGAGAAAAAAAAAACTTTAAAAGTTTATTTTCTACAAGTATAATCTATTGCAGTAATTAAAATTAAAAAAACGATTTGCATACTTAAGTACTTAGTTGTAATCTTATAATCGATTGCTGTTTGCTATCGTTGACTTTATAAGACTAGAGAATTTTATCGTTTTTTTTTTTTTTTTTAAGCCCAAATAAATAATTTTTGTTCGTTTATCAGTTGTATTATCGATAGAGTTCGATCAGTAATGATTATTCACAGCCCACGGGTAACAGGTATATATATTTTAGGATACAAATAAGCCGTTAGAAACTAGATGGTTAAATTGTATAAGGTGCATACATTTTAAACATATTTTAAAATTTACGACTAAGATAATAAATAACAAAAAATTATTGAATTTAACATAGACCTTGTATTGAGAGAATAAAGTTTATGGAATTTAACTACATATTAATTATATGTTAGTGTTTCATATCCAAATTGAATTTGTGTTAGTAATACAATAAAGTATTAAGTTAAATTTAATAAATATATTTTTATTGAAATATGTAGATTTTAATATATTATATAAAATGTTATATTTCCAGGCTTTAATCGGTAGTTAATCATAATATAGTATATTTTAGTCCCACAATGGTCATATTTATTTTATCAGTAGTCCTAAACGGTTATCAGATAAACATATTATATATTATATAATATATATGATAGGTACTTATATAAAATTCCAATAAAATTACTGTATCATCCTATAATAGGACCTATTGCTGTGGCAATTCAATATATTTAAATGTAGTATGATGAAGTCTTAATAATGACAATTACAAATTTATGGCATATATTTTTATTTAAAAATCTAAAAAAAATTGTCTGTGCAATTACATTTTTTAAATTATTTTAAATGTGCCATTTATTCTTCTTATTTATTTCAAAACAAATAGTAAAAATGGTTAATACAATTGAGTAAAAATTTACCAAAGGAGAGAAGATTAAGTTTTTGATATATTAATAATAGGTGAAAATGAAAATAATATAGAATAATAATAGGTGGATCGTGGATGTAATATTACCTAAATTGTAAAAAAAATAGATCGCTTCTTTTTTCTAAATCAATATCGATCGTATACTAATGTTTTTATAATAATAAATTCTTAAAAATAATTATACCGCATATTGGTCAAGCTATGAGTGATAGAAATACCCATTTCAGTATAATGTACAGTATTAATTTAAACGTTAAATGGCTAAGTAACGACTTGGACTTTAGTTGTTGTAAATAGATTATCGACAAAGTCTGAAACACTGTTATATTTCTAAGCTGTACGAGTGGCTCTAATAATTGAAAGAAATGTCGCGATTTGGTGTCAGCAGCATCCCATTTTACTCGGATGTCGCATGTAATTCAGAACTAGTAGATTAATACGCTGATGTACCTGGCTTCCCAGGTCACCCAAACTTAGGCCATGTGACTGATACTTTTTGAAGATTTGTTAAAGATACTGCAGATAATTATTATGACTAACCACAGATGAGCAAATAAATTAACCAAGTCAGTTACGACGGATATGCGTGCGGAATGAATTTGAGTTCTGACTATATAGTTATGTTGTTCGCTTGATCAAGGGAAGCCGTGTAGACTATAAGCGCCAACAAATAATTTTGAAATATTATCATTTATTAATGTATTAATGTATCACACTATAATATATTACTATGAATCTAAAAACAAAAAAATATAAAAGCATTTGAAATCGGATGAATCATTTTGAATGACCCTGCTGTAAATCTGTATTTACAATAATATTGAATTAACGTGGTCGGATGTTTACGACGTGATAAAATACAGGCTACGATGATTATTTCTCGTGAATGACAAAAAGCGCTCACCCATCGAGGCCGAAAAAGAAACCAAATTCTCCGAATAAAACATCGTTCACGTGCGGTCACCACGGCAACGAAAGTAACTACTGACACTGCAGCAGCACAACGGGAAATATTATTCTGTTCTTGTACTGTACAAAAAAATAATTATAATAATATGATGCAAAAACTTAAAACGAGATTATAATAAGGCTCTCTCTGTTTGTTGTTATCGGTTTATGTACCTACCTATCATCGGTTTATTAAAAAGAACACTGTGGCGGAGGTAATTTAACAAACGAAAATAATTCTTTATTTTGCAAAATCGTATAATTATACGTTGAGTTTTAACTATATTATAATACCATAACAATATTATTATACTCTTGGGCGGCGCACAACCTTTCCCGTGCCGTCCACCGACCGAGTACAATTGAAATGAAAAATTATAATATTTGCGTCTTATATTATTTTGTAAGTAGGTACAATAATTAGAGGTATAATATTTCTATAAGAATTTACTTCGAGGTTCGTACGCGGAACGAAACGATAATTCAGAAGACCAATATATGCATACAAGTCAAGAACAAAGTAGAGTGCAGTTAACCGTTCAAATTCGACGTTTTTAATTTAAGTTTTCTCAATACCTAATTAGAGCGTCATTTTGTAAGACGTATATAATATATATATATATATGACCATAAATTGGTTGTTTGTTCAGCCGTTTTCATCAAAATGACAAAATTCTCCAATATTATGTCGACCATAGCCATGTTGATAGAATTCATAAAGCTCACTATATTATCGAGGGGTGGATATCCAAAACGTAGAACGTTTTGGAAGAGTATACCATAAAAAATTGGTTTGAACCTACTTGAAAAATAAATAATTTTTTATATTTTGATCTATTACTTATTGTAAAATACATTCGGCTTACTTATATTGATTTTAAAAGAGGATATACCTACAATAAATCGCTACCATAGAAAAATCAGTATTTTGCAATAGTAGGTTATGGATTTCCACCCCTCAAATAAGCATGGTTAACCTCATTTGAAGAGGTAATTAAAAAGGGGGTAACTTACAAGTGCTTAAAAATCGAGCTCATTTTGGCACGACCAAGTGTCGACAACATTACAGGGAAATAACAAAACGGCCACCGACGGAGTAAGCCTTGTTATAAGCTTCTATGGATATAAGTGAACTTAGAATTTTTCAATTTATGTCCATACAAAAATGTACAAATTACTTTTTAACATTTTATGAAACTCGAATAAAAAACGAAGACTTGCTACCAAAAACGTGACGTTACGATTTGGAATAATATTTTCGATTCTACGCATTTTCGTGGTGTACAGACGTTATGGTGTCGATTATTGCAGTCGAAATCGCTGGACGGGCTGTTCTGTTTCGACGGTCACATTATACGCACTGGAAGGTCGATGTGTTTGAACCAAAAGTGACCAAGCAATACCATTGAATATAAAAACAAACCTAAAACCCGACTTTAATCGAAGTATTCGACGACGGTATAGTCGGGACCGGTCAACGACGCGTTTTCGTAGACGTCGATAGTCTGAGGTCTGAGGTTTTTAAGTTATAAAATAAATTGAACGATTTCATATCGGGTCAGCGCAATACTTTACGACCTGCAGCGACCAGACATAATGGCGTTTTTTTTGCTTTCATTCCGTCAAAGATACTGTTTTTCCAAGAACATGGGACATTTTTATTTTCACATTATAAAACATTATGATCGCGTTCGAAGCAAAATAAGTAATAACTACGTTGTGTCACAATAATGTTCAAGAGTCCTATAAGGTACCACCCCCTGGGAATAAATTATAATATTATTCATTTTTTAATTGCATTTAAAATGCATTCCTCGTTTTGGTTGCCATCTAGAAATTGATTTTTTTTATACATAACATTAAACATAATAATACCTAATATATAATATACAAAATTCAATTAACTTAACGATATTTTAATATCATTTGGTACAAAAAAGTAAATGACGTGCTTTCATGTTCGCCGAAGCTCCGTTAATTAAAATCATTGTGGACGTGTTGTAATTAACTAAAATATAATAATATCGTATACCCTTATAATATACATTTTCAGATTTTATACAACTGCTACCGTATACCAATAACGACATGTACAATACAATAATACTGCTTTCGTGTCATTATCATACCGCTATCACTATCATTATTACTACTATTGGCACTTAAAATTATAATAATATTATTATGATAAAACCGTATAAATAATAATATAATATTTTGATGGATATTTTAAATGTACAAATTCGTCGTCGCATTTGATGATATTTCAAAATATATAGGTATATATTTATTGATATCGGCGCGGGGCGGTGTGCGCTAAATGAAAAATCCGTTCGTAAGAGGCTTTAGCTCTTCGTACCTTGGTAACTGATTTGCGCTTTTCGAACTGGGCATGGAGACGGCTGCGGCAGTGGAACATTTATCGGCCGGGCCTTCGCTATACGGCGGCGGAGGACTGTCGCCGGCTTCCGGCACGGTAGAGTCTTTTAGCGAACAACTATATATCATAGGTATACGATAAATCGGCAGGCGACATGCAACAAACAAATAATAATAATGTGTCAACAATATACTACGATTTAATATAAGTACTAGTAGTAGGTGTTATAAACTAATAAATAATATTATGATAATAGGTGAGATATAACGCGAGGAAGACGGTGTGGTTAGTTTTTTGATCGAGTAGTAGAATAAAATACAATTATTAAAGTTATTATTTGATTCGAGTAATCAGCAAACAAATGCCGGAAAAAAGTTCCCGAAAAAGAAAAGTAACCGGAAAAGAATTCATTGAAAAACTAATTAATTTAGTGTATTGTAATTTGTAATAGGTACTGATTCCTTAAAAGATACAAATATTTCGTCTTAAATATATTTCATAATATTATTTTACTTAATGGTAACCGATAAGCAATAGTGATTAAATTTAAAAAAATGTATTAATTATAAAACATCTATTTCAATGTTTTGATATGCTCTATATTTTGTGTTAACTGTTAAAAAGTTAGACATTTGGTTTAGCATAATTTATATTATCATTATTACCTCAAACAAAATTATTAACCAATAGTAAATTTTCAGTGACTTTTTATCATTTAACATTAATATTATGTATTAAAATAAGAGATAAACATTTATATTTAATTAAAAATATTTGTAAAATTATTATCATAATTTATTTTGGTTTATTTGTACGTATTAAAATAAACTAAATTAATAATTAATAGTAATTTTTTTCAGGGACTTTTTTATCGGGAACTTGTACAAAGTATTTCAAATACTTTCTAGTAAAAAAAATAAAATTAATAAACTATTTAAATAGTTACAGAGTTGTACAGCAATTATTTTACCAAGTGTCATATATTATAATAATATATGCACAATGGTTGTGATAATTTTAAGTGAATCCAATTAATTTACAAATTTTACGTTATTGGCATTCGACAACGATATTTTCATCGATAGTCAATTAGTTAACACAGTGGAAATCATAGTCTATTAATTTGTACTGGAATAAAAAAAAATCGGATCAATAAAGTAGGCACTCGTGACTAAAAAAACGTGTTTAATTAACTACATTGTAAACTATATAAATTAAAATTGTTCGAAGCCGAGAGAGGTATTTAAATACCGGTACACCGCTAGTTGGTGACGACCTAGACTTGTATGGACATACCTACTTATAGCGTAAATACCTACATAGTGAAAACATCTACATTTTTTTCATCCCCATTTTCTTAGTTTAGTGCTGTGGGTGTATATAATATCGTGTCTTTAAATAACGTGCTCGACACCCCTGACAACGAAATGAGTGTGCACCGCCCTCGTCGGGTACGGTGGTTACCGTATAAATGTATAATATTATCGCGGTGAACGATCGCCTTTCGCAATCAAGGACGAGACGAGTGCGCTAATAGTGTGCATAATATAGATAGGTGTATAGGGGAGAAAAACGAAAAACAAAGTCTACGGTGGAGTTTTTTTCACTCCGACAGTGCATAATACATTATGCGATGTTATATGTAGGCACAGTTAAACAGTTTTATAATACCGACCTTTTGGCTCTCCGGGACGAATAGGTTTTCCGTTTGGACGACAGAGGAGGCGACGAGTTATTGGTTTTCAGGGATGTTTTCACCGCCGTGTACGGTATTTCTCGCAGCTGTTCCTCGGTCATGCCGTCCGTTTCGACCAGTTCGAACTCCAAATGCTTTTTGAGCTCCTCCGGCAGACGCGTCTTGCTGCTGCTTTCCGACGGCGACCTGGACCGCGACCTGCACAAAATCGTCAATCGGTCAGCGTGTATTTTTTTTTTAAATTAGATTAAAGGTAGGTCCCTAAACGTCATTATTATAATTGTGTTGAATAATATCTCTTTTCCGAACAATGACCACCCGAAATTTTTTCCGAAAACGTAAATTTAGAAATGCAAAAATAATATTATTTAGAATTACAGCATTCTCGATTACTACCTACTATGATATTCAGAACCCTCCCGGAAAACTTATTCTGAGTACATCCTTCATTGATAGTATAATAAATCTGATTGACTTTAAATTACAAAACGTATTAAATATAATTAGGTATTAAACATTTAAATCTCGTTACTTAGTTTGACATGGTTTATTTTTTATCATCACAACAGTCAATCTAATAACTGTAGGTATATGCATATTTTTACAATGAGGAATTTGTCTAGAAATTTGTTTGATGAAATTTTAATTCAAACGCTGCGGCCGGATCAAATGCTATACACGTTTTACATGAAACTGCCAGTTTTGTACAACATCCCTTTCCGACTTGCGGTCGACCGCGCAGCTATATAATCATCATATACCCTAGTGCACGCGACTTCCGACGTCGTGGCAAGCAATCGAACGTTGAAGAGAGGTGAAGCCGCCGACCCGGAAACCGGAAGTTCAAGGAGAGTATATTATTATACCTACAATATATTTGGGATCCTACCACCGGCCATCACGTCTAAAGGCAAACACGATATCTATATATTATAAGGCCAAGCGGAAAACACTTCCTTCATTTTCATGATATTACGGTCTGAGCAGTGAATACAATGGGATAAAAAACTGTTTGATGTATGTTCTCAAAAACCGCAAAATTTTCCGCAACTAAGGTCTTGTGTATTTTTAAAATACGAAATGTGTATTCATATATATTGATCGATTTTCCGGAAAATCTGGATATAATATAGCGATTAGCTTCTCCGTTTTCTAATGAACAATGATCCCAATCGACCTATTGAAGTAGGTAAAAATGTACTTAAATCTTTGTTGTTGTCAATATCGATTTTTGACGAATTCAATAAAAAATAATAAGGCGAACCTCTATTTACTGTCATTTTAATAACACAGAATTACAACACTCCAGAATTCAATTATTACATAAATTGTTGTTAAGTATCACCTTAATAAACGTTTGTCTAAATTAGGTACGTTTTAAAAATGTTCATCTATATTTTTTTTACCGACAAACAGTATAGTGACAACAACAACCTATAAATAGTAAAATGTTTTCAAATCCAAATAGACTAATCAACTATCACATAGATCGCCATATTCTCCAAAAAAAGCAATATATTTAATATTATTTTAAAATTCAAAAATATGGAAAAAATAATGCGCAAAACAATAACACAATAGTTAGTAAATTGTATTAAATTCCTATACGGGGTAACGAAAACGGAATATAATTATCAACATTGTTATCGTTATTAGTGCTATTACCTGTGTTTCCGGTGTTTCCGTCTCCGGTACGACGACGAATGGTGAGAAATCTCGCTCTCGGACTCCAGCCCGCTGTTCGCGTAGCCCGACCGTGGCCGAACCACTGACGCCTTTTGTATAGCTGACCTGCCTTCAGCCTGTCTCCGCTGCACTTCCCGCCACTGACCCTCAGACTCCACAAGCTGATACCTGTGCCGCCTGTGCTCGTGGTCGTCGCCCTCCGACGACTTCCGGCTCCGGTGCCTGTGCTTCCGGTGCGATTTTCCCGACCGGCCCGACTGTTCGCTCTCGTTATCCGAGGACCGTCTATTGTTGCGGTGTCTGTGCCTGAGTAACACCAATCGAACATACAGTCATTATTATTTTTTTTTTTATAAACTATAATCATTATCGTGACGATCTTCCGATGTCGAATTTTCGTTAAACCGTCATGAAACCATGAAAGTTTTCGTCGAAATTCAATGGACAAACGTCGTCAGTGCAGATATTTTAATAATTAATTATTATGTAATATACATCAATATTAAAAATATGTGACAACATCCGTGTCACGTCGATGAAAACTACTTCAGTCGCCCTTTTGGAACTCAAAAGTTAAGTTCTTTCCTACCGTCCATCAGGTCGAATGTCTAGTCAAGCGTCTAATACGGAAGTCATTGGTATCAACGCATAACAATGAATCGGCAGTGAGTCGGACGTACAAAATTTAACTTTTTTGTAATTTTGTTATAATATATTATTACCCGTGTAATCTGTTTACATTACCATTATTCCATTTATTCCCATTACCTATGAGGAGGCATTTTCAAAATAATATTATGTCTATGGGTTCTCGGCCGGAAATTTGATAAAAAAAATACCGACTGTATATATACGTTAGATATATGATTTAGTTTGTACTATATATTAAAAAAAAAAATTAAATTACAAATTCAATGGTTCATATTCACACAATATAAATATAATATAATAATAATATATTATGAGATGACATTCGAACAACTAAGTTGTGCATTATTAAATCTTAAAATTAATTTATTTACGAGCGGTCCGTTTCCGTAAAGTGGATATGTGCAGTTCCCATTAAAATAATACTTTTGTGCATTTTTATGTTTGCAAAATCTTAAGCGTGAATGTAATCTTCTTAGGATTCAAAATCCTTAGAAATCGTCTTATAAAAGGTGCTGTACGTTTGAGTAAATCATTAGAGTAATGGTATACCTAAAAATTAAAATAACGTAACGTATTATCAAACAGGGCGCCATTATAGGTCGAAGACGATTTACGAAATACGTTCCTTCATTAATTTATCAAATATAATATAACTTGTTGTATAATATTGCGTTGATGAACATCCGTATTATTCTTAAGAGAGATTATCAAACTTGTGTTTCAATCATTTTCTCAAATAATATGTGCAATCTTGATAGCTAGGCATTATATATTATATATTTATTTAATGATTTTATACATTAAGTTTAATCGAAAACGTTCAAATATTATTTTATTTTATTTTTCGAACATAAAAATGAATTATAAGTTGATTTTCTTTCTGACTTTAAATAAAACAAAATTAAACGATGAGAAATAATGACAATTTTACCGATTTTTTAACATTAAACACATCGTTAAGTCTTTAGCTAGCCTTCGAAAATATTTTAGGGTGTTCGTCCGACATTTGTCATGAAATGCGTGTATATATATTCATCATTAATTTCTATCATTTTTATATATGTCACTTTTTTATGACTGGTTATAATACAAACTCATTGAACTATGACTGATATTATAAAACACACCCACGACACATGCACCGTTATATTGAAATGATTAATCTTCGCATTATACCTAATACATTTATCTAAATAAAATATATCCTTTAAATTATATTTACGTCCTTATGATTAAAAATTACACAATATAATAATATTATGAATTGATTATACTATATAAGTAGCCTGGTAGCTATGTGATTAAAGTGTATCGAATTTTTTTAAATCGTAGATTTTACTTATAAATATTTCAAAGAACGGCTAGAAACCAGATGGTACAAAAATCAAAATCGAATTAAAAATCGCACAGGCATGTGTTACTGAGTGGTACGAACTACACTATTTTACGATCGATGCGCATAAACAACAATGCGTGTCGAGGGTGGTTTTTCGTTTGGCGAGTTCGAGTGAAAAGCGAAACAACACTACAACGTATTAGAACGGTCTCGGTTGAAAACTTCTCTTATCAAATACCTAGTACACTTTGCGAAAACCGATGTGTCGGTATTTAAGAGTGTACACGAAATACATAAACAATGCGTGTACACGTACCCGGGTAGTGGTAACTGGGATGGTGATGAGTAGTGGGGGTGGGTTGTTTATATCGGTAGATAAATATATATACGCTGTCGGAGTGGCGAGTATTTTATACGGTTTGGTCTCCTACATTTATATATATATAAAATTATATTATATTGATCACGACTGGTGCAAGTATCCCCCTCAGGTGAGGTGAGCTGTAGAGCTGCAGAGGTGAGAGCGTAACCGGAAACAATGGGAATAAGGGTCGTCGTCATCGTAGTCGTCGAGGCCCTTTGTATATATATATATATATATTATATATATGTACAAGCGGACGAGCGCTTTGCAGAGCCGGCAAACAAATGCATATAAATGCATTTTGTTTCGTGAGGTATAATGAATAGAATACTGCAGTTCGCAACAACTGCCGCAACCAGCGTTAGCAGCAGCTGTGATATCAGCGTGATACTACATCCAGATGGAATAGCTTGAAAACTATAATAATGGTCAATAAAATGATTTTGAAAAAATATCAAAAATCAAAATGTTATCGGTATCGTACTGAAAAATATCGGACTCGATAATAAATACTCAAACTGAAGCCTGGTGTGTCGTGGTGGTTGGTCGTAGTCACTAATGTGTGGTCAAGCATCGTCCGGCGTTGCTAGCTTCCGGATGCGGGATAACCCCATGGGTTACCACCAGGGGTTTTAGTGACGAGTCCTGCCCCCCCCCATATTCACGTGATCTTAAATCAACTGTAACACTCCCCCCCCAAAAAAAATGCCAAAGGCCAAATTATAGTTACCAATGCTTAAGATAAATTTAAAAAAAAAATAAAAACAAACTGTCACACTCGTTATCAACACAAAAATACTAATGTAAATATAGTTATAAAATACATTTTATTGTATGGTATACAACACGTACTTGCGACACGATCTCGAGTCGTTGGAGCTCTGGCTATCCACGCTGGACGACCTGCGGGCGTGGCGCATGATCTGATGCGGACCGGATCGGACACTCCTCGGCGAGCTGCTCGAGTACAGGCCCCGGGTAGGAGCGCTCGACCACACTCCCCACGGTGCACTTCTGGTGCTCCTTGGCGAATCGCTCCGGTTCGGCACGTACATGCTGCATCGAGGGAACATACAGACATAAGTAAATAAATAACGCATCGTGCACACTCGGGCGCTATCGCATAATGTAATATTGTAATAATTGTTTTAAATTCACGTACGTGTGGACAGGAAGTTGAGGGTTGGAACAGTTTTTCAGCTTGTCTTGCGGTTTCAACGACGACGATGACGACAATAGCATCAATTCGTCTCTGGTCTTGTATTCATCTCCGAAAGTTTGATCTGTGCGGAAAGTATAATATAAGAAGATGCGTTGAATCAAAAATGTGTCACGATAATTATTATGTAGGTATAGATCGGGACGTAAAAAGATAATAAAATAATATACACATATGGATGGACATACAAATATCTACGGCTATAGGTACCTTCTAATTTCTATACCTAAACCACGCTTTAGGTACTGTGATCGAACAAGTATAATATTGTTAGGTACCATAATGGTTTTATTATGTGGTTATGGATACGGTTTGTGATAAAGAAAAAAGATTGTATCAAGACAATTGAGAAGTATATTTCAGTAGGTATTATTACTAATCATTAACGTTATAAGTATAATAATAATAATAATAATAAAGTAGTATACTTGAACTATAATTTGAAATATTTGACATAATATTGTGTTTTAAAGTTTGAATATTATTACCAGTGGTGAGTGGGGCCGAATTAACCTATGGACTAAAAAACCTTTATACTTGGCAAAATGTTATCATAAATAATTTTTAATTTTATATGGTATCATGGTGTAGTATGTTTTTGTTATAAAACATCGAAAATTGTCGTTATTACTTATTTTTAAAATAGGCCTATCTACTGTTTTTGAAAGCAAGTTTAAGCCAGTTTCTCTGTAAACCCTTGACTAGCAGCTGTGAGGATACCACAGCCTTAATATTGCATGTAACCACTTGGGTAACTATTATGTTCTTCGTTCACACTCGAATACAATGCATATCTTGTCCATAAAATATAATGTATTATTATCCATCCGGCCACCGCGTAAACAATAAACGGCGGCCCGCTCTGTACGTTGCGGTATCCACAATCAAATAATAATAAGTAGGTATATGTACGTCATATTGCGTAGTAATTATAATAATCTTTAAGCGACGCAATGCGTTGTACATATTGTACTATTATAATAATATATTACACGGTCGTCTAGTGCGAATTCCTAGGAGGTTCGTTGCCAAACGGTCGTTGTTTAGTTTTGTTTTTATTTCCTCAACGAGCCATAACTCACCCCCACCAGGCACCAACCCCTTCGTTCATGTAAGAGATACGTATAGACACTACAGAGTGACTCACAGCCCACAGGGCATGCTCACCTTAGTTTTTTTTTTATTTTATAATGAATTTATAGTCGAATTCTGATTTTTGGAATTCTTAAGCAGACTTAAAGAGCGTATTTTCAAATAGATATATCTATATAGTATACATGCATTTTTTAAGAATGTCTGACGTGATAAGAACTCTTTTTTTTAAAGTTAAAACCCTATTTTTAATGTTAATCGTTAAGCAGATATTTCTTTTAAAAGGTATTGACATAAATAAATGAAAAATAAAAAACTGGGTAAGTAGATGTTGCTCTGATGTACATTAAGTTATAAGTGGGTCAATGTATAAAGGATTGTATTTAACTTGAATTCAATGATATAATATCATTATATAAGAAAAAAGATTCTGAGCGGAGACGGTTTGTCAGTCTGAATATTGTTATTATTAATTGTTATATTCTGTAAGTTGAATTTATATTATAGGTAATAGGTATTGTTATTTTTTATTCGTTAGGTAAATAAAAATCTTATTTTTAGTGGTTTTTCGTAATATGAATGATGTGAAAAAATTTCAAAAAAAAAAAAAAATGACGGTTCTCGTTTGAAAAAAACAACAAAATAAGCTTGTGTTTCCTTAAACGTAACAAAAATCCAAGTACCCGGAAACACGGTCTTTAGAAACAGGTACATACTACATAATATACATGAACTTTCAAAAAATCATAATTTGAATCACTGCACAGTTATTAAAAAACGAAAGGGGGGTGAGCGTGTTCAGTGAATTACCCTGTACTACAGTTATGACGAGATTTATAAACGAGTGCACGCAAACTCCTCGGGACGAACACGCGTTCTATAAGTACAGCACTTTCAGGGCGATGCGTATTATTATTTCTCTCGACGACTAACGACGACGACCGTATAATATATCGCAGCTATTTTTTATACAGCTCGCGTGTCGTCTCTGCGGGCTCTTAAATTAGACATCGTCCCGTCGGCCAGACATGCACGCGAACCCAAAATAATTGGCCCTGTCTACCGTGTATACCGATTTATAGAGATTTTTATTTGAACTTTATGTAGCGCGACGAGAAGTCGAAAACGATATTATTATTATTACACACACGACGTTCGATCACTCCCGCGCGTATATTTCGATATGTTATTTTAAATTATAATAATTTAATTAAGTTTATCTTGTGCTAGTCAAGTCCTTGAGATGCGGAACGGACGAACGACATAAAAATATATAATAAAGGGAAAAACTATACCCTCAGCTTCGAACGACGTAAACATTGACTTTGTGGAGGGTAAGGCACTTAGGTTACAAATGTCGAATTGTTGGTTACTGTAGGTACCTAACTTATTGAGTATAGGTACTCATTTTCTAAAAAATATTGAGTTAAACATTTTGAATCCGTGGTGCCGGCAGACACCACGGATCAGGTCCAACACCACCCACCAATTATAAAAATATTCATTTCAGAGGCATTTCATTCGGTTGTAAATTGTTAGCTATTTTCATGACATCGATTCCTTCGCACCACGAATCTATAATGGAAGTGGGTAATTTATTATATTAATTATAAAGTGTCGTCACATCTCTACCCCACCATTCGAACTCGGTGGACACTAAATTTTTTTTTTTCATAACGATATCTCGCAAATATGATACTATTTTGCACCTACCCAAATAAGATAAAATTTTTTCGAATCATTATCGAGCGTCACGTATGAAAAATGTATAAATAAAAAAATTTATAACACGTTTTATTATAATAATTATTACCTAGGTATCTGGTATATAAAATATAAATAAATAAAATATAGAACGTAATATCGATTTGTTCTGCACACACACACACACACACGTTTCCCGTTGGTTTTATCGAGTGCACATAATATACATTATTATAAACGTACTTGACACGGCGCAGTGCTGCAGAAATATATTATTATTATATCGATTATATCTTTAATGATTATTACACATTTGTGAGGGATAATTTGCCACGATATGATATAGAAAATACATAAAACTCGTATGAACGGCAATCGGTCTTATTAATATTGCCTGCGCCCATTATACAGTTATGTTACAATATACAAGTACTCGAAAAGTCTTATAATAACATAGGTACCTACGTTGTTGAAATGCCGTTTAATGAACCATAAATAGGTAGGTAGGTAGGTAGCTAAAATATAACGACGACGACGATGATGTTGATGATAATAATAATATATAAAAATGGCTACAAACGCGTACAATATTATATTGTCGGAACTCCGTTTTTACGTATCATTCGAAAGGACAATAATAAACGCGAAAGGGTAGATGAGACGATGATCATCGTTTTCGTAATTATTATATTAATTCTGGTGCCTGAGGAGTAAATAATAATAATACATTCTTATTAAAATATAAAACGTAATAGAAACGTTCGCAAATCCGAGCTCGAGCTTTTTACAATCGACGGCAAATCCTGTCGGAATATTAATATCGGCTTCGCAGCCGGGTACACCATATTATTATATTATTAAATTATAATATTGTGTGCTATAAAGACATCTTGTTGACTGCTACTGCAGCTTGTTGAAGAGACCTAGTGGCGTTTTTATTATTATTATTATTATTATTACTTTTATTTTAATTCTGAAAAGACCACAAAACGTCCAAGTCCGTGATATACCTACCTAGTACCTACTAATGTTCATAATATCATTATTATTATTATTATTATCATTATGCACCAACAGTGCGCGAGCGGCGTATTAAAACGAGCAGCTCTACGCTCGCATTACATAATAACATATTTCTTTTGCACGACGTCTTCAAGTATTTTCACGGTTCTTAAGAATATAATACGAAATTAACCGGTGGTTGGGTAATTGTGAACTCACCACATACGTATATAATATTATAGTAACGCTGTGCAGCGGGTAAAATGTATATGAAAGAAAAAATATCTACGCCGTACGAGCATATTGTTATGGGTAGGTATATAATATTATTATTATTATTATTATTATTATTGTACACCTAGTTTTAGTATTTTATTTTAATTATACTACTCCAGACTCAACGTCTAGAGCTGTAGTGCTGTGTATTGTTTAGGTTAATTAAAAAGAAAAAAAAATCCTAACGAATTCGAGATCGTAGCGGCGCTTTGAAAATTAGCTCGTTGGAAAATGTCAAATAGGTCTGCTGCTGCACGCCCATATTATAATATTATACACAGTCGTCGTAATATAATAATATAAAGAGTGGTTCGCAAAGTGTGACACCCCCCCCCCACCTGTTCTATCCTTTAATATTGCATATTATTTTATTCTGATATTTTTTGAATCAAAGATTATAGATATTATATTATTATTTCCAATCAATTATTAGTGTCTTGTGACGGTACAAAATTATTTTTCAAAACTATAACAACCCTTTTTTTTTGAAAACGTCGAAATAAATAAACCAAAATTAGAAAGAGCAGTTTTCGAGTTTTTCAACATTAAGCACCGAGAATAATACACAAGAATACAACGGGACCCACTTTGAACGATATGAAAATTCCAAAAACCATAATTTTCCTAATATTGTATAATCATGTGGGGAAAATTGGGATTTGGAAAATCACCGTAAGTACGGTATACTCACTATCGTTGGCTCCTTCGACGATCCTCCTCTGATAGCGGCGACTAGGTGTCCTCGTAAATGACGGTGGCGTTCGGTTGCTCATCTGTGAGCTCCTCACTGACGACTTATCAGCCCGACCGCTAAACAGGAAAATAAAGGAAAACCTAAATTAATCACCGATATAATATAACGTAATGTATCGACATTTTAATTAAAAAAAGTTCTATTCATTATTACACTTTTAAATTGTTTAGCATATTGACGCAGTGTTAATATTAAAATATAATAATTAGACTAGGTACAGTTAATTGACTCTTTAATCGATAGGTACTTATAATTTTAGGATAAAAAAAAATCGAAGAAAATGTTATTAGAAACTCAACTCTATCGTAATATTATATTTCTCAATTAATATTTTTAATTACAAAGGTTTTAAATTTTAAATTATTTATGTATAATTTATTAGTGGGAGTTAATAATATTTTTTTTTTATAACGATGAGTATAAAATAAAAACGCTTACTATGGAAAATATTTTGCCAACAAACAAATGAAACGCTGTCAGCATAAAATATTAGAAATTTATTACAAATTTAGTTCCGTAATACAGTTTCTTCATATCAATATAATATTATTATATACCATGATAATATGATACAATACAAACAATTTATTGCTAGCGTATAAACTCTTAATATCAATGAAACAAAAATTATCGTCGATAAACATTTAATGTTTTGTTCTCGTCGATGGTGATATTTATTTAAGAGTATTCAATTCGTATGTTTATAACTTTATTGCACATTACGTCTGCTCTTTAAAACAAATTAATTATAATAACATATATTTTTAATCACTAGTGAAAATTATTGTCCTATTAATCAAACGTTCTAAAACAAGACATGCTCCAATGCTTGCCAAATGGAGTACATAAATAATATTGAAATAAATATATATTGATAAAACGAATCCTCGAGGTGAGTTGTCGATGGTTAATAACGATAAACGTGCACATACAATACTGCACAATAATAAGTAGTAGGTAGGTCGTAGGTACTACCCACAAAAAAAAAAACAACAGGATTTATATAGAATTAATATTATTATCAGGATTCATGCACTTAAAATATGCCAAATTGGCTTCAAGGTGTTAGGGTTTAATATATTAAATTGTATTTTGCATATAACTGCATTTGGCATAAGTATCCGGTTTTTTTTTTTATAGAGCATTTTAATTTAACATAGAAATGTTTTTGGGCTAGTTACAACTTTTTTTTTCCAACCGATTGTTTTGCATACAAATTGTAGCATGCTACTAGTAGACATCTTTCTACTGCACTTTATTCAAAAACATATCTATGATGCCTCAATTTTCCTTGCAGAGTAAAAATATCTAGTAGCATGCTAAATGTCCACATTAATTCAATTTTTTTTTTAATATTAACCCACCTAACACATTGATAATAGTTTTTAGCACCTGTCCTAATAATTTTAGCTGGTTCTAATTTTGTGTAATATAACATTTGTTTAAAAAATTTAAAAATACTATTTATCCACATTTTAAAATATTAATCAATACGTAGTCGGCTATAAACTATTATTATTATTATGACGTTACAAATTATGGTTAACCCGCAAGTCCAATAAAAAAGATTATAAACGAACGCCTTAACTGAATTAATTAATGTATTTGTTGGTGACGACTAAAAATTTGGATTTTTGAATTATTCAAATACATTTGTATCGATAGTTGTCTGAAACTCTAGAGTTATACTTAGACAGATTATAGATACCTCGCTTAATATTATTATACAACAGTGGTAGACCGGAGTCCGGAGCTCGGTCGATACCATTTTCGGAATGCTATTTTGAATCGCTGTATAAACTCATATGTAACATTAAATTATTATACTCGTATAGCTTTCGAACGGCAATATTAATAACTGCGACGACTTTGGCGGGGTAGACAACAATAAACAATACGAGCAGTATCGCATATTCTTCGCTCAATAATAGGAATAATGGTGTACAGTAGCAGTAATAATTATAATACATCATAATAGAGTAGGTAGTAGTATATTATGTAATGTATGTACGGTGCACGAGAGGAGGCGTAGATATTATGCATACACTATAATATGGCGTATTCCTATATGTACGTCAAAATATGTGGTGCACAAAATACCTATACACACAATTGTACGCGACTAGGGATTTGTTTCTTTAGAAATATCATCTTCTGGCGGGAAAAATCTGAACAATTATGATGGGGCATGAAAAACGAAAAACCACCTCCACCGCCGTCGTTGTCGTCGTTTGTTCACCCAGCTCCCTGTAGTCGGCTTTATGAATGCCGCTAGCCCTGACCGACTATACACAGCAGAATAACAGTATATTACTATGTATATTATAGTATTATACGCGTGCATATATATAACACACGCCAGCAAAATGTTTTTTTTTTTTGTGAGACGGAAGAAAAAGAATTGCATACGATATCGCGCGCGTATTACTATATAATATGACGTATAATATGAAAATGCGCTTATAATATTTAGTTTTCTCCCTCGTCATAATACAACACTACCCGTGTAGGTATATATAATAATATACGTGTGTTACAGTACGTCGTAGTAATATTATTATAGGTGCGCGGTACATCATCGCGACGAATGCGACAAAACTATGTTATTATTATTATATATTATGCACATTGTACAGCGTGTACACACACAATAATGATAAAATATCACGTATGTGTAATGTGTACCTACGGCGAGCGTAACGCAATTAATGTAATTGAATAATATAATATTCTGTGGCGTATATCAAACCTGCTAAATCGAGTGCTTATGACGTCCGGGGGGTTGGGTGACACTTGGACAAGTCTGAAGAATGAATGATGTTCCATGCTGCACTTGTACAGATGTTTACACGCCGGCCTCGAGGGTGTTTCAAACCCGTAAGTGTTCTCGTCGTTCTGAAAATATCGTCATTACCATTATTTTTACCATTATTATTATAGACCCGCGTCCCAATTAAAATATTATGCTAATCTGGAAGAAGAAACCCGCCTGCAGACACTATATACGACGAGTAAGATAATATAAAATGTTACGATTTATAATTGTATAATTATATTGTGACGTCGTGACCTGCTTCGGGACTTGGGGTGCGAGTGTGTATGCGAGCGTCGACGTATGACATTTTTAAGGTAGTGACGACAGAGGAATTTAGGAAGCAGTTTAAATAATAGCCACGGGGGACCGTAAAGAAAGCACCGGTGCAAGTGTGAAACACGAAGCATCCACGTGGGCATACAGCCCCAGAAGAAGGCATCGCGACGAAGAGTGGATATTGACGTAATTATATTATTGCAATTTAATTAGTGTTAACTCGAGTTAAGTATTAGTTTACAAACTGCAAATTAGTGCTGTAGATAAAGGTAGTTCATTACATCACATAAAGTAACCCGTCTGATAATAAGGACATCGAGTCACCTCGTTAATAAAAATCGTACTACTCAAGCGCCAGCGCAAGACGTACGCGAGTGTTGGGGAATCATGCAGAGAGAGATGACGTTACAGTTGGTTGATGCCCTCGTTCAGCGAGTGTAGATTTTGATTAACGAGGCCTCGGAGAGTCAAAGGAATACAATATTGAACTACCTTCATTTAGAAAATATAATACTTTACACTCGACACTGACTATAATACAATATTCACTCTGTGTTGCGATGGTTCTTATTAATATTAATGTGGTAATCTGGTCGAAACCATTCCTATGTCCGACCAGACGAAATATAATACACGTGTAATACTAATTAATTTATAATTAATATCATGGCGTTGTAAACGAGACGCAATAACGTTTAAATTGTGTCCTTACGTTTTTGTCGCACACTCTGAGCATGAAATATTTTCCTTTGCTGAAGATCTTAGTGATCCTGGGCCTGAAAACACGTGTCAGTAACGATTAAAACGATGACGAAATCGTAAAGAAATAATATTATATACACCGCCGCGGCGGAACACTCACCAGTAATAGTTTGCGACGATGTTTTTGTTTCGGAGCACAATCACTCCGGTCGGCGTCAAACCCAAATAATATTCGACATTGTCTTCGCCCTGTTGAAATCAAATGCGAACAATATTATAATATAAATATTGATAATCGGTACAACTTAATAAATACCTTACAGAAGAATGAAAAAAAAAATGGAAAAATATCATTAATCATTATTTTTAAAAGTTGCGCATTTGATATTTTTTTTCATTGCATCGCAAGTATAAGAATAATATTGCATATAAAAGTATATGGTCTGAAACTCTTCCGAGAAATAGGCGGACAAAACGATAATAATAATATATTATGTGTACCTACAAAATACAGCCAATCCGTGTACGTTTATATATTACATTATAACTCATTTATGTTTTGTATTTTCATTATTTATACGTCCATTGTACATAATATAGTCAGCTCTACTATAATATTATTTGCATAACAGAAATGAACAAATTACGTTTACTTGAACATCAAACACGAACGTCGGAATACAAATAACGGTTCAATTTGTTCGCTTAAAAACTAAATTTCAATTTATTTTTTTTTTATGCAATATTTATAATGCTTACAATGTAATAATATGGGAAGGGTAAACATATAGATACACACTCGCACGGCGGAAACTGCAGCGAGAAGCGACTACATAACTCGCTGCCATTTCCGACGAACACTTTAGGTACCTACCTACTAATGTGTATAGATACGTATATTATAATATTATTTTAATCGTAGCGAACGAGAATGGAAATGATTTTCCGCGAAAACGATCGATCGCCGTCCTACGCGATTGCTACACTTTTTAAAGCAAAAATGAAAAAAAATCATATTATAATTAATAGTAGTCGAACGCAAAACCCGTAGTTTAGATATTGTTATTAGCTGCACGACGACTTTGTGCGCGTAAAGCCGTTTTGTTACTAAATCGCTCCGTTTTCGTACGGAAAATCCAATCAAAATATTATAATTGCCGGTCACGATATATAATAATGGGTTTGTATATTATAAAAAAAAAAAACAAACGTAGGCAGAGTACAGT